GTCGGCCCTCCTTTCGCCCGGCGAAGTGCAGCAACTCGACGTAGCATGGACTCAACAAGTCGTTGGAAGTCTTCTGCAGGAATATTGAGCCATGCTGTCTCGATAGACGTCCATAATTGTGAAAGCGTTGATGGTGCAGGATTTTGGGCACGAACAGACCTCTCGATGATGTCCCATAAATGCTTGATGGGATTCATGTCGGGCGATCTAGGTGGCCAGATCATTCGTTGGAATTGTCCAGAATTTTCTTCAAACCAATCGCGAACAGTTGTGGCCAGGTGACATGGCGCATTGTCATCCATAAAAATCCCATCGTTGTTTGGGTACATAAAGTCCATGAATGGCTTCAAGTGATCTCCAAGTAGCTGAACATAAGCATTTCCAGTCAATGTTCGGTCCAGTCGCACCAGAGGACCATGTCCATGCCATGAAAAAACAGCCCACACCATTACGGAGCCACCACCAGCTTGAACAGTGCCTTGCTGACAGTTTGGGTCCATGGCTTCGTGGGGTCTGCGCCACACTCGAACCCTACCATCAGCTCTTACCAACTGAAATCGTGACTCATCGGACCAGGCCACGGTTTTCCATTCATCTAGGGACCAACCGATATGCTCACGTGCCCACGAGAGTCGCTGCAAGCGATGTCGTTCTGTCAGTAAAGGCACTCGAGTCGGTCTTCTGCTGGAATAGCCCAAGAAAGCCAAATTTCTCCGCACAGTTCTAACAGACAAGTCCCTTGTACGTCGCACATTGATTTCTGCGGTTATTTGTCGCAGTGTTGCTTGTCTGTTAGAATTTACGACTCTTTGCAGACGTCGCCGGTCTCGGTCGTTAAGTGCAGGCGGTCGACCACTGCGCTGTCCATGGTGCGATGTTATGCCTGAAATTTCATACTCTCGGCATACTCTTGACACAGTGGATCTGGGAATGTTGAATTCCCTAACGATTTCCGAAATGGCATGACCCATGCGTCTAGCTCCAACTAACATTCCGCGTTCAAAGTCTGTTAATTCCCGTCGTGCGGTCATCATCACGTCAAAACCTCTTCACATGAATAACTTGAACAGAAATGAAAGCTCTGCGAAAGCACTGCGCATTTATACCTGTTCTACGCGATGCTACTGCCATCTGAAAATTTGCATATTGCTATCCCATGACTTTTGTCACTTCAGTGTATGTTTCCTTGAAGATTAATGAAGAATTCACAAGATTTTATTAAAGTAACAGGAATTGATTAAATTTGCATTTCATTCTTAAACATTGTTTTTTCTTTCTTATGCAGCTGGCAAACACTTAGACAGCTGTCTTGGATGCCTTAAGGCAAGTGCTACACAGACGTGCTCACTTTGCATTAACCAGGGGGAGCGTGTAACTTGAAGATAAGCCCCGGACGCGGAGTAACAATGCCCCCGTAACGCTCTACGATTATATTAGACCGGGACCTACTTTTTAAAGTGGATTCCGAACCACTACAAACAACCATGGCACCGCCGGGACTCGAACCCGAAACCTGTGGTACCGAGCGCCAGAGTGCTATCCACTCGGCCATTCAGGCCCTCTTTCTTATCAATATAAATATAAATATATATATGTGTGTGTGAGTGTGCATGTAACTGGATAAATGAATTATACTTATTTTTATTAATATCAAAATCACTAAACTAAAATGTAATTAAATGCTTAAATATTTCCCAAAAATGTTTTGGTGCATACCTCCAATCTGTTTCCTTGAAGATTAAGAAAGAATTCACAAGATTTTGTTAAAGTAACATGAATTGATTAAATTTGCATTACGTTCTTAAACATAATACACTTAAAATTAATTCAATTGAATTTCGAAAAGAGTAAACGTCCTTTGATGTATAAGGCATTATTATAATAAGCAAAACGGAGCTCTTTAATTCTGCTAACTTAATTACAACCTCTCCAATTTCTGAAATATTAACAATAATTCTATTACATCAGCATTTTTCAATGCATGCATCGTATGCAGATGTGAATATCTTAATTTTACTAATACTTTAACATTAATTTTATTTGGTAATTTCTAATCTAAATTTGCTGATATAATTAAATTAAATATGAAATATTATTTAATCCCGGAAATATTCTTTAACAAAGTAACTTGAAAATATGACTTAATTAGTTAAGGTTTTCTTTTGGATATTTCATTATATTAATTATCTTGACAAACTTATATTTAGTTAGTTATTTTGGTTTAATAAGAATGAATGCTCTTTATATACAAAAGACATAAAGAGTTTATTTAAAGAGTCTTAAATTTCTTTTTCAACATTCATCTTGCAATTGATTAAATGCAATGCAAAATAATTTCATTTATTCATTTAGTGCCTAAACCAGGTATAGGTAGTCAATCTTGGCTTCTCTGAAACTTAGAGCTCTTCTCGAGCAACTGTTGTATGAGGAAATTACACAGCAGAGAGAAATTTCCCATTTTTAATGAAATAAATAGCTTGAATATCAATACCTGGATAGTAAATGGTTGGTTGGGCAGGGAAAGTAAGAATCAAATTTAGAATTTAGAATTTTATTGACCCTCAAAAGTTATGGTACTTAATTCACTCAAATACAGGCTAAGGCTCTACCTCACTGAGATAGGTCTGTTATTGAATGACCTGAGGATAAGGTTCGAACAAGTATAATAGTCAGATCGATAACTTCGTACTATACCAGCATATATTCTCATCCTTGTATCTGTAAAATGATCCAAAGTGACCTAAGGCATAATAATTTTCACCCTGTGCCGGTGTATAATGCATGACACACCTGGAAGAGGTCTTCTTGAAATTAATACTTGGTACTTTTGACCTCATTGGGGGATGGGGGGAAATTATTACAACTTGTGATAAATTTGTAATAATCAATAAAGTTGTAATAACCGCCATCAACAACTTGTGATAGCCCTATGTCCACCCACCCGATCGTACCGTATTTACCATACAAAAATAATCATAAGTATAATTTATTTATTCAGTTACATACATACACACGTACACACACACACACACACATACACTCAAGTGCCAAAACATTATGACCACCCCTACATTTTGCAATGAACTCGACCAATAAGCCACAGATAAGCCCAATATGCGAGGGAGTCAGATTTGTGAAAATATAGGGTGCTGTGAAATAGAAAGTTAGAAAATAGTGACATTTATTGATGTTGAACCAGCAGCAGATTAATGTGTGATATCAGGAGTTTTGCTAATACGCCTCCTTGTGTTAGTACAAAGTGTCTCCAATAAGCGATGTTCTGACTTCCAAAGCTGCTAATCATTGGAAAGCTGAAGGAAGTCTTAATACGATGTGCTTGTTATTTTTGAGCAATGATATGCCACATAAGAAGCACGTAATTGTCAGTGACGTCTTGTAATGTCACTATATGGATTATTATACGCTCAAGAGCCAAAACATTATGACCACCCTATATTTTGCAATGAACTCGCCTGGATGACGTGGAAGGCATGTGATCAGGTGGAAGTGGTATTTAACTGGTATTAAGTGGTGGTATTAATCCATGCCAAGGCGGGTTGAAGCTGTGTTGCGCGCCACAGGTGGGCCAACTCGTTATTGACGGGTGGTCATAATGTTTTGGTTCTTGAGTGTATATATATATATCTATACACTCAAGAACCAAAACATTATGACCACCCGTCAGTTTTAGTTTTCATTACAATATATATATATACACTATATATCAACATATATATATATATATATATATATACACTATCAACATATATATATACATCAACATATATATATATATATATATATATATATATATATATATATATATATATATTGTAATGAAAACTATTAGGGCTTGATAGCCGAGTGACTAGCAATCTGGCGCTCAGAGCAGATGCACTGATCCTGCCATGGATGTTTGTATAGGTCCGGAATCCACTTTAACCATAGATCCCAGTCAAATTGTTGAGCTTAGTATTGACAACCCTACACTATAAAAATAAAAATATCTCATGCTTAGAAATCTGCAAGTAAGCGGTCCACCATGAGGCTGTTGCACGAATGATGATGATGATGATGATAAAGGAAGACTATTAATTAATGTTCTTTGAAAGAGATACGTCCATAAGCTAGGCCTGTTAAAAGCAGTTACCAAAAATTAAAAATAGTGATTCAAGACTAAATGTCGTGTGCATTAGCAGCAGCATTATATAAGCTCAGTTAGATTATCGATCGAATAGAAGCTGGCTTGATGTTGAAGAGAAATACTTAAAACAGAAAATACTGTAATTGAATTCTGTGAGAAGTTTGTCCTCGTCATATTCTTCTTTTTCTTCAATTTCGCAACAGCCCATGGTGAATCACGGCCCTTCGCCTAATATCAGATTCTGAAGCTGGTTTCTTTTTTACAGGGCAGAGTTGTCAGTCCTACGCCAAACGCTCTATAGTCATATTAAACCGGTACCTACAATTTAAAGTGAATTCCGAGTCACTACAAACATCCCTGGCACCACCAGAACACGAAGCCGAAGTCTGTGGCACCGAGCTCTAGTCACTCGGTCACCAATCCCCATATTCTATACTATCTATTAATCGTGTATGTAGAGAAATTTATAGAAATCAGAACAATATAACACTTATTTTTAAGTAAAAATTAAATGAAAGCGTTTTTTGAAATATATTTCCATAGTAAGCATTAATAAAGTTGTTGTTGTTTGTTGTTTCTTATCCCACTTGGTGGGCCAAGTCCACGAGCCCATACGTACTCATGATTGAGGGGGAAGGAAGCAGCTTCTATTGTGCAGCAGCACCCGTAGATAGAAATCTGACTTTGGCTCCGTAATGCTCTTACAGTCATAGGAGACCGGGACCTACGGCTTAAAGTGGATTCCGAACCACTACAAACATCCATGGCACCGCCGGGATTCGAACCTGAAACCTTTGGCACCGAGCGCCACAGCGCTAGAACACTCGGCCATTCAGGTCTCAAATTTGTGAATGCCAACGGCACGTGGCGTTCCCAAGGTGGTCACCCACCCAAGTACTGACCACGCCCAATGATGCTTGACTTCGGTGATCTAACTGGGAACCGGTATATTCAGCATGGTATGGGCCGTTGGTATTAATAAAGTAATACCTTGTATCATAAAATTTTTATTAACTATTAATTAATTCAACGAAACATTTTAACTCGCATAGAAGTCACATTATATCTTATGCATATCAAAATGCTTCTATTAATTTGCAAATGTTAAGTAAATATATAATTAAGTAATTAATTAATTAATTGTTAATATGATTCTAGAAAAATTCTAAAAATCACTACTACTTGCATTTCTACAAAATCAAAAGTATTTTAGTCCAGACGGTGCATTAGAGATAATTCAACTTTCGCAATCATTACTTAGTCTTAGCATATGCATATTTGATTTACATAATTAACTAAGTTACATTAAGTAAATATTTAAGTATCTTCAACTTAAGCTTCTTGATTCAAAGATCATATATAACTTATATGATCACTTGTAATGCACCTGTATGTAATCACTTTATATGCACTTGTAACATATGTTAATTTTTTTTTATTATAGATACTTAAATATTATGTGCTATAAACATAGCGCATAATATTTATAAACTTTTCTATAAATATTTTATATAAACTTGGCTTATAAACTTTTTTATATTGGCATATAGTATAATATAAACTATGTGTCAATAGTTTTTAGTTTCTGAGATGTTTTCTGAATTATGCTATTAGAAATTCAAAGAGATTTGACTCGGCATAAGAAATCTATAAGATTCAGTATTAAAGTGAATGCATGACTACAGAAAGTGTGCTACCCATGTCACATATTTTGCCATGCGTCTTGAAATGTGATTCAAAGGGGGTATCTGGGGTTTTTATTATTTTCAAACCCTAAAAGAGGTTATTCAGGCTGACGGATTTATCGTGTCTCTCACTGTCATTGCCATGCAAGCTTCCCATTTGGCAATAAATGTTGGATTTTAAACCGATAACTTCAGTTTGGTAGCTAACACAATACTCACTAGGCATCTATAACACACATTTTTTTAATGTTATTATATAATTTTTAAAATATATAAGTGGAAAACTTTTTTTTCTCTAAAATTTAGATGTAACCTTTCAAATATTTGCATTTTATGGATTTTGAATTTTTTTTCTTTATAAATGGCGAATTAGTCCATAAAATACAGTTTGGCTTTTTGGTCGATCATCAACCTCAACCGATGTAGGTCACGCCAAAAAAATTAAAAATTTGGTACTTGCAAACCGTCGATTTACAATTATAGACCTTGCTGATGATGTTGGAATTTCAAAAGGATCGGTCAATTCCACTTTGGGCCTCAAAAGCAACAAATCTCAATTGGTACCGAAAACACTGAATGCGCCAGCACACATTGCATAGAGTTTTCGTGACTTTTTTGCCAAAAATGAAACAACCATCGTATTCACAGCGTGCGACTTTCGGCTATCCCCTAAACTCAAAAGAGCACTCCGGGGACACCGTTTTAAGTCGACTGAAGAGATTCAACGTGAATCGCCGAGAGCTTTGAAGGTCATCCGTGTCGATGACTTTTTAGCATGCATTGAGAATTGGAAAAAACGTTAGAATAAGTGCATTGTGTCCAGAGGGGATTACTTTGAAGGCGATGAAATAAATTTGGAAGAATAAATAAAGAGTTTTTGAAAAAAAATAATAATTGGTCTTACTTTTTGAACACAGTAGTATAAATATATTTATATATTAATTTTATTTTCAAATAAGTTAAAATATACGTTGAGCTTGTCTTCAATACATTTCTGTTTATTAAATATCTTTTTTATTTCATAACAAGTAATGTTATAAAAATTTGAGATTTTAACCTGCAATAAATATATTTCTAACTAATTAAAGTCAGTTTATGTCGACAAAAACTGGTCTTCGTATAAATCTAAGATTTTTGAAGCGAAAAAATAATTATTGTTAAAATTTTATAAATTAAATTTGAAATATAAAATTTATTTAGAACAATAAGCAACGGTATATATGTTTTTCCTCTTATAAATACTTATACGAAGTTTCTTTAAATTAAAGTTGAATTTTTTTTTGTATGTTGTTTTGTTTGTTTATGTTGTTTATTTTTCTTATTAAAATTTACATTTTTCATTAAAGAATACATATCCCAAGAGTTAAATGAGAGGATTTGAAAAGAATAGCTATTCTCTATTTCAAATTGAATGAATTTACCATTCTAAAAATGAATACCGTCTATTTCTAATACTTTAAATATATAATTTAACTAACGTCAGTTTTAAGGCCCGAAAATTTAATTGATAATAAAACTCTAATCTGGCCCGATGGCCGAGTGACTAGCGCTGTGTGCCACAGGTTTCGGATTCGTGTCCCGGTAGTGCCAGGGATGTTTGTATGGTCCGGAACCCACTTTAAAGTGTAGATCCCGGTCTAATATGGCCGAAGAGTATTAGGGTAGGACTGACAACAATACGGGGTAAAAAGAAAACAACTCCTGTCTCGAAATCTGCCAGTAGACAGACGGCCTTGACAAACCAAGGCGGTGCTGAGCTAATAATGATTATGAAAATCTATATTATGTATGGAAATATGAAAGTGATTGGGATGGTATTGTATGATATTTTTTCTAATTGACTTTTTTCTTCAATATTATTTCAGAATTACATAAATATTTCAGAATCTTACAATAAAAGTTCCCGGAAGATTAATGTTCGATTTGTTTATATGTTATACATTAATAATAGAAATTTTTTTAGAAATAACAAAATAGTTATTTTGTGTTATTAATTATATTTATTAAAATATGCTAAAAGAAACAGTGCAATTGATCTCTAATAGCCCCTTAGCTAAAGCACCATTTTATTTTTCCATCTTTAAATATTCAATACCTTATGAAACAAAACATTTTTGAATAGGTGAAAGAAGTAAATGCTCAAATTTTCCTAACTGAAAACGCATTAAGTTTTTACAGCATGTTCTGTTCCATTGATAATCAACTAAAATTCTTCTCCAAAAATGCAGCATCATAATATCGCAGGAATGTACCCCAAATGATTACGAAAACCGCATTTGAATTTTCATTCAATACCATTTATTTTCTTTTTTACTCATTTCCTCTTTAACCAATTCTGAACCGTAAGGAATCTACTAGAAATATCTGAAAGGCAACAAAGATTGACGACGGATGGCAACGTAAAGAGAAATGCTTCGCTGAGAAACGCAAGCTTCACAACATATACTAACAGAGACGTTTAAGCCTGCCAAAACATTTCAGGTTGTACGCCTGACTTACATATTTTCTTGCCATAAATATTTATTCAACTTTATGGTATATTGGTATTAAATATTAAATGTGAAACTGAGGTATTCAAATAAATTCATCATGGCAGATATGTACCTGGTAATGATATGCACCGCATTAAATTAAGTGGATTAATTATGTTATTCAATTATTAAAGGATTTCGTAATGATTTAATAAGCTTCTTACTGAAGTAATTAGGCCAGCTACAGTTACGAGTCATTTAACGCATAAATTAATATACAATTACGCGTAAACCAATTACTGTGTTTGCATCGTAAATATATGTAAAAAGAATATTCTTTTTTTTTTTTTTTTTTTTTTTTTTGTTATGCGAAATTATATTAGCCAACTGTGTACGTAAACTAGAAATGATGAATTAAGTTAACTTTTTATATAAAGTTAGTTTCCTGAATATTTGATCTGTTCTTAAATATTGAGAACAATAAATTTACAAAAAGGAGGAGGAGTTTGTAAATAATTAATTATTTACGGTGAATATTCTTTTAACTTCCCAATTTTTTTAATGTTTTTTTTCAGGAAAAATACTTTTATTTGTTTTCAACTCATGATGTTGTTTTTTTTTATTACTAAGGCCTAAGGACTCTTATATTGAAATATATGAAAATAAAATGCAAAAAAAATAAAATAGTTATATCGATTAATTAATAAAAAAAAATAATTACCGAAAATTTAAGAATACAGTATAAAATATAATGCATTAAAATAATCTCTACAAAATAAAACGTTTCAAATTATAACGGTAACTAATCTGTATATTGAACATTTGTTATTCAAATTGTGAAATGCATTCAATATTAAATAAATAAATATTAAAAGCACACATCAATATCAAGAACCAAACCAGAATTTTCAACTAATATTTTTTATTCTATAAATATCGACAAAATATTAAATTTTAAAAATCGGATTAAGGTACGATTTTATAAAAAATTAAAAATAACACGATGACGATTGAAGTGGCATATGGGGATGTGAAGCAACAAGGACTATAATCCCCTAATCACTATATATATGAACAATTAGTTTTTTCTAATTTTCAATATGTCACTCTCCACAACGATCTACGATCGTGTTAGACCGGGACCTACGGTTTAAAGTGGATTCCGAACCACTACTAGCATCCATGGCACCGCCGGGACCCGAACCCGAAACCTGTGATACCGAGCGCCAGAGCGCTAGCCCCTCGGAAATAATACGATATTAAAATAGGATATATATATGTTGTTGTTGGCTGCCTGGTGACTTTGGTTTGCGTCTACGGCAATTTTTTGCACATTTTGGGCTAATTAGACAGTTTTACGTAGATTCCGAACCATTAACTAACATCCATGCCACCACCTGTATTTTAATTGAAGTCTGTGGTACATGAGGACTGTGTGGGGGTGTTGCGCCATTTAAGATGAAGACAGACGAATTCGAATTCATACAAATTAAGAAATCTAACTACATATACATTTAAAAAATTGCTACTTACAATTTTGGAAATTTCGATACATATAAATTAGGAAAATTTGCTACTTACAAAAGGAACCTGATAGCCGAGTGGCTAGCGCTCTGACGCTCGGAACCATAGGTTTTAGGTTCGAGTCCCGGCAGTAACATGCATATTTATACTGGTTCGGAATGCACGGTAAACCGTAGAATTCGTTTTAATATGATCGTAGACCGTTGCGAAGGTATTGTTACTCCGCGTCCGTAGATTATCTTCAAGCTACTCGCACCCGTTGGGTAGTGATAAGTGAGTAACGTCAA